GATGGTGATCTACAAAATTGGGTATCATTCCTCGATGCATTCAATGCGATGTTTCATCACAACCAAGGATTATCTGATGTACAGCGTTTACACTATTTAAAATCTTGTCTGGTCGGTCCTGCTACGGAAGTAGTGCGTACCATTCCTACAACTGATGTAAATTATTCCACAGCCTACAATGCTCTAGTTGAAAGATATGAGAACAAATCACTCATTATACAGTCACATATACGGTCATTATTTCAGACACCACAAGTCCATAGACCTACTGCCAGCGAACTACGTCAGTTACACTACCATGTAGTATCCCAAGTTGATGCATTGCAGGCACTCGGTCAAAACATACATGAGTGGGATGCATGGTTGGTGACCTTATTATGTTGCCGATTAGATCCTACTACCGTTGGTGAATGGTAGCTGCTGCAAACATCAAAGGAACTCCCGAAATTTCGTGATTTGGAAAAATTTCTGGCAAATCGAGTTTCTGCTTATGAAGTCGGTGAGGTTGGTAATCAGTCCACCCAACTTAAACCACTTAGTGGCCAACGCTCAATGCAAAAAAAGGTTTTATTTGCCCATCAAAAGGACAACAGTCCATCTAAGGAAAGAAGATGCATAGTGTGTCCCGAACATCGTCGATTAGCATTGTGCGAAAATTTCAATAAAATGTCCCTCACTGAACGTCAAGACGTAGTCTTTAAAAACAAGTTATGTTATAATTGTTTATATYCAGGGCTCCAGGTTCGCCAATGTCGTGTTGGCAACTGCAATAAGTGTGGAAAACGACACAACACTAAATTGCACAATGATAAACCGTACAACCAGCCTCCTTCAGCAAATGAACAGCCATCGTCRCCGCAAGGCCAATCTRTGGTAACCTATGTTGAGCAAGCTAACAACAATCCTACTGCTCAAAGACAAATAATGTTAGCTACTGCAGTGATCAACTTAACAAATTCAACTGGTCAACAGATTGCATTTCGTGCCATACTGGATTCCGGGTCGCAAATCTGCCTTATAACCAGGGAGTGTGCATCAAGACTGCATATTAGTGAAACTCAAGGCTCAGTATCATTGGCTGGTATTGGATCTGTAGCTGCTAAGACTGGCACAATGATAAGCACAACCATGTGTTCACGACTCAGTGACTATGAAGCATCCATCAATTTTCATGTAATCAACTCAATAACAAACAAGTTAMCAAGTCACAGTGTAAATATCCATCAATTAAACATTCCCGACACAATATTAAACTGTTTAGCTGATCCTGGATTCCATGAACCGGGCAATATTGATGTACTAATTGGTRCTGAAATATTTTATGAACTATTAATCGGCGAAAGCAAGAAAACACCAGAGGGTACTGTTCTACATAACACCTGTTTAGGATGGGTGCTAACTGGTTCAATGCCCATCTCCAAATTATCATAGGTGCATGTCAAGTCTATTAATACAGTGTCAATCAAGGTCGTCTCTGGCTCTTACCGACCGCCCCACCTGTAGTTTCAAGGAAAACCAGTCAATAGCCGAAGCACATTTTACTAGTACAGTAACCCAGGATCATTCTGGGCGATTTGTGGTACGATTGCCATTTCTGCGTGATCCTGAGGTGCTGGGCGATTCAAGATTTATGGCGCAGCAGCGTTTCTTCAACCTTSAGCGAAGGATGAATCGAGATCGTATGCTGGCTCAAGAATATAAAAAATTCATGTCTGAGTACATTAAAATGGGTCATATGGAAGAGGCTAAGGACACAGACCTTCCTACTTACTACCTCCCTCACCATACTGTGACCAAGGGYGACAGCCTAACCACAAAGACTCGTGTTGTGTTTGATGGCTCAGCAGTTACAAGATCAGGCCTAAGTCTTAACGACATATTAGTGTGTGGACCACCCGTTCAACCTGAATTGTTATCCATTGTGCTGCGATTCCGTCTTTATAGATATGCTTTGGTTGCAGACATTAAAAAAATGTATCGCCAGGTCCGTGTTGCACCTGCAGGCTGTGACTTACAGCGAATAGTATTTCGATCAAATGCTGATGAGGAATTAAAGGATTACAGACTTCTCACTGTCACATATGGTACTAGAGCTGCATCATTCTTAGCCACACGGTGTTTACTTGAGGCAAGTTATATGGTTCAAGATGCAACTGCTCAGCGTGCTATACAACAAGATTTTTACGTTGATGATCTATTGAGCGGCTGTCAGACCGAAGAAGAATGTTACAACCTGTACCAAGTGATGTAAACTGAGCTCAATAAAGTTGGATTTTCACATAGGAAGTGGTGTAAGTGGTGTTCTAATTCTGAATTTGTATTGTCAAAAATGTCCAATTCAGAGAGTCAATCTAATTATATGTTGTCAATTAGTGACGAAGAAACCATAAGTACACTAGGCCTTGTGTGGCAGCCGA